TGACCAAATGAGAAGGGATGAGAGGAAAGAAGACACATAGTTGTTGTTTAGGATGTAAGCAAAGATGATGAGCACGGTTACGTCACTTAGTAACAGTGATCATTACTGGGCTGGCGTATTTCTTTATGTACACAACCCTCGGCTTCTACACAGGATGTCCAATTAGAAATGGTAACTCCATTAAGAGAAGACAATCAAGACCAATCAAGACACAGCTCTGAGATGGTAACTATAAAGGTTTGATGCCATTTCCAAAATGTTTTATGTCATTGTCATTCCAGGTGATTACTTTATTAACAACCATGAGCACTCTTTGGGCTGACCAGACCTTTAAAGACCACACATGAACCTCGGTGTCTCCAGCTGGTGCCATTAGCCACACATACACATGAGTTCACCCTGGATGAAGAGCTGCCGTGAAGTCCTCTCCAGGCTGTCAGGACAGCTTAGCAAAGTTTCATTCAGAAGGAAAGCAGTTCAGCTATGTCACCAAACCACCTCCTGTCCCCTGCATGTTTCCATTGGGCAGGAGCAGTACACTTGGTCTCTCCCTACAGGAAAAATATTTGCAAGTTTTCTGACCCAGGAAATGCTATTGTAAAATAAACACCCCATGGGTGAGCCTGAAGTCATCCACTTGAAACACCTTTACTGGGTGTCCTTTCATCCAGACTGGCTGCTCAGGCCAGAGTGGGGCTGGTGTGGGACTACATACTGACACAGAGGGCGACAAGCACCAGCCAGCTGGGCTCATGTTCTGGAGTGACCATCTTCACTGGGACCAGATGGCCAACTTGTCCTTCACTTCAGGGCAGAGGGGAGTTGCTGGAAACTTGTGGAGGCATGCTCAATGGAAACGCACTGAAGGTTTGAGTGGACTAAGCCAGGTTTAGCCTGGAAAAGAGAAGGCTCAGGGGTGACCTTATTGCTCTTTGCAAGGCCCTGAAAGGAGGTTCTATCCAAGTGAGGGTCGGTCTCTTCTCCCAGGCAAGCGGAGACAGAAGAGAGGTCGTAGTCTTAAACTGTGCTAGGGAAGATTTATGTTTGTTTAGGAGTTTAGGTCTGGACATCAGGAGGAATTTTTTCACAGCAAGGGTGATTAGACATCAGAATGGGCTGCCCAGAGAGGTGGTGGAGTCACCACTCCTGATGTGTTTAAAGAAAGACTGGATGTGGCACTTACTGCCACGGTTTACTTGACAAGGTGGTGTTCAAGGGGCTGGTCACAGGTTGATGATCTCAAAAGTCTTTTCCAATCTAATCGATTCCGTGATTCTTCGACCTGGCTTCGAGCTGAGTCACAGAATCAAAGAATCAAGCCTACCCAGGAAAACAGCTCTGTTTTCGGGTCAGCGCGGAGGGGAGCTCTGCCAGCCAGACCCGAGTCTCTTCCTGTGCCAAGGCTGCGGACCTGAGCGGAAAAAGAACGAAAACCTGAGATGTTATTTTTTTTGCAAACGCTCGCTATAAGGAAGACGAACCCCGGCTTGTACCGGGTGCACAGCTCCGCCGGAGCACGGTGACGAGACGCGGGGAGCAGTGCCCAAGGGCCGCGGGGTGGCAGGCCCGGCCCCTCAGCCGCCACCAT